TGGGGAAGCGCTTGGATAGACGATCATGCGTAAGAATGGGATGCATGGACATTCGGACTTTTGGTATTTCAAACAATGACAGTGGGCATGGTGCTAATTCGAACGAGGTTAGCTCTTAATTTCCCCTTTCTTCCCTCTCCTTCCTTTCTCATTTTATTTATTTTGATTTTCTATTTCGTGATTGTCTTGCACTCTTAAATGTATATTCATTGTGCTTGTGTGAGTAGTTCTTTTTTTGTAGTGTGATCGGCTTTGGTGGTATCATGTAACATTGTTGTGACTTACCGAAGTGAGTAATGGTGGGAACGGTTGAAGAAGGCTATGCTTATTCAGCTGGAGAATGCTAGTTCATTTACGTGGTCTCAGTATTTCACTATTTCACTGGAACAAATTTTATGCTGTAGCGATTTGGAAGTGGGATCGCAGGTGGTAGGGGTCGGAAAATGCATCCGTTTAGGTCCTGATGTACACGTCGCGTTTACGAATCCTTGATCTTTTGTTTGTAGAGCCTTATGCTACAAGCTGGTAGCTGTTTAACCTGTGTGATCAGCCCGGTTTGAGAGTAGGATATTTTATTGTAGTAATAGATCGTATTCCAGCTTTGGTATTATTCCTTAACATTTGCAGCTTGGGCAACAGAGTTTTGAAGGATTTCCTTCTCTAATTTGATTAAAAACGGCGATCTCGCACCGTTTCTACACTCCACCATTTTATTTAGTAAATGACTTTTATCCACGTTTTCAGCATTCAGACATTGAATGACGCCAATTCGAGGTTGGGATAATGGAATGTGGTTTAGCGTTTAATCTTTTGTGGTCAATTTGTTAGTGCTCTTTTCGCTTTTCTTAGTCTATAGTACGGATGCTGCATTCCTATTCCATTTCCTTGCGTTCATTTGCTCAGATGCATTTTGTTTTCGTTGGATTTTATCTGGTATGGTAAACACTTTTATTTCCAAAACGTGGGTTTACATTAACTTGATAAGGAAACGACGTCTCTATCATATTTGTAATGAAATGGTCGTCTGAAGAAGCATCAGAGTTAGCGCTCCTCATCTGTCATTGAAGCTAGGTTAGAAACTAGTGCGAATCGTGGGAGTTTTAGAAGAATGTTTATGGTATTATTAGAGTGCTGCTAGATTGTGGTTAAACCTTATCGGCCCTGATTGGTACTATATTCATTCGCCTTTCCAATCTAAATATTGTGAAGACTATCCCTACTTTACTCAGGAGCCCCTTGTGAGGATTAAGATCACAACTCCATGTGTCTTACCTCTCCATCTCCAGTCCATCAGAAAGGAAGCGGACACCGTAGTCTTTCCTACGGACACAACTCCGGAAACCCCAAGATCCGCCCGTTCGCCCATTCTCTCCCCTATTGAGGCGGCGCGGAGCGGTGACCTTATGGCGAGTATATCTCTACCTCCTATTGTCAAAACCGACAAATTTGGTCCTACCTCCTTAGCCAATCTCCTCCCCGCAACCACTTTCGGCCAGCTGAGTCCATCCACCTCTCCTATGGATGCTAATATCGCCGCTTCCGATATCTTTTGTGTACGTGGGTGTCTTACGAAGACGACTTTTATTTAGTTCTCGTACCATTCACACCAATCTTCGTCTTACTATCCCTTGTAGTGCCTGAAAAGCTTCCGAGATATACAGTTTTGGGTAGAACTTCCTTTTAAATGTACCGAAGCGCAGGTGTTCAAGTAGCCCCAAACTCTCTCAACCGATGTATCGCGCTGCTCAGATGGTGATCGAACCCTGAAGAGATTAAAGAGATTTCGCATAGATAAATGTAGATCAATTAAAACAAAAGTTCTTCTGCTCTAATCTTGTATGCTCTATTTTTCGTTGCTCATTGGTTCGTCCGATATCATCCCGCTTTCGGAGGGCAGAATTACTAACCTTTAAAAGCGGTGTTGTCAGATGCTGAATGCAAGCCATATCATATCCTCTCACTACAACTACTCTTTCTCAAATGCTACTTTATTGCATCCTTACAGGTCAATTACTCTATTTATGCTTGTCTAAAGCAGCTTTTAATTGTTATCTCAATCCTTAAGCCTTCATCCTACTTTCATTGGCTCTATCCAGCTCAATTTGGTATCGTTCACAATTGTCTTAGCGTATTTGAACATGTTGTACTGGCTTTGAAATGAATAGAATGAGTATTCGACAAATTGAATCACATGCTCTTTTCTTGCTTTTTTTTAACTTGTCGACTGTGATAAGCAGCTGGACGCTAAAAGCGCCTGCGCTTTTGGCCCATTGCGAATAATGCCATTGAGAATTTGCTGAGGCTCTTTGTCCTTTGGACTCAAATTCTTGGGTTGCATACAAAGTTTAAACTGATATCGACGCTTTCCTTTAGTCGCGCTCCTACTCCTTGCCACAAATGAAGATTTTGTCGTCGTCGTCACCTAGTCCACTTCTCTCCGATTCGACTGAAGATGTGAAAGCTGGTCTTCATTGTTGCTTGGGCATTAAGAGAAGACTGAATAGGAAGTGCATCTCTACGGAGGACCTCGATGTATTCGACCCCTGTCCTGAACTTAGTATTCTCGCCGATTCTCCTGGTATGAACAGACTGGAATGGCATTCTGACTAAAATCTTCCACTATTAACTACAATGGTTTTGAAGTTTCATTATTAACTTTCATTGTTACATTTATGAACCATTTTAGCATAATGATTAACTGGAGAGCTAAGTTCGCTCATTGTCTAGCATCACTCTGTTCCCAGCAAAACTTCCTGTCAGCCTGGAGTCATCTAGCACCATCCCAATGGTGGCAACCTCGTGCTCTCCTACATCCAGTGTTGATACCTTGGACAGCGAGCGGACATTACCAATGCGACTTGATACTACCGATGGGCATCTTCACTGTTGTGCCTGTCACAAACATTCATCTTTACCGACGAGGTGTCTTAAGATGGCAAAAACTGTTGATAGTCCCGTGTGGAGTGAGTGCCAACTCTTGGAACCACAAGCAAAACAGGTGACCTACCTCCATATAGAAGCAAAACCCGTTGTGGGCGAGCCGCTTCACTGTTGTCAAGTGGACGAGTGTCAAGTCTACACGGCGTCTCTAGTGCCACAAACTCCATACTCAACTGATTCTCTCTCCTCTACCTCTCCGCCATTTGTGTTTCATAACAACACTAGCATCTCCCCAGCAGTTGAGATTCCCTCAATTTCAACCACTACTGTGGCAGTTCAGCAGAACCCACATCCTCCCTCTCCAGTGTTTCCCGCCCGACCACTCTCTCCAGTCCAACCTCCACCACATCCACCTCCCGATAATGTTAATGGCAGCAATGGTTCAACTCAGTCCCCCTTTGTCTACTCTTCCTACACACCCCCGCACCCCTGTTGTCCCATGTACGTCCCAGGTGTTGCGTGGATGACCACTCCACATCACTTTTCCTCCGCTTTTGTACCTCCACCCGCACATCCCACTCCTGCGTTTTTTGACCCTACCACTGGTGCCCCAATCTTTGCTTGCTGTTTGCCGCCTCAACCAACACCACCACCACCACCGTCGCAGGTCCAGCAGGTGCCTTTACAAACGTTCCTTCCACAACCAGATCAGACTTTGCTGTATCCACCACCAGCGCCTCCTTCGGCACTAACGCCTCAGCAGCAGGCTTTTACGTCTCAAATGGGATACGCATCACCACAACCCCTGCCGATTCTGGAGCACCAGAATCAGCAGCAACAGCAGCAGCAGCAACAACAACAACCATTTCAGCAGCTACAACCGCAGCTTCCCCTAATGATGGATGCGACCGAGTGGGTACTTGGGGCAACGCCTTCAGCTTACCCTCTTCACGGCTAAATGCAACTAATCTCCTTTCCCTTGCCCTACCTCTGTTCGTATGTGTATATTTAAATGAAGGTGTAGGAACCTTTGGGCGCGCATGGGATCATTGAGCTCCATTTCGGAGTTTGTCCTTTGTTGTACAATCGCGAGGAGAGAAAGAACACGAGACTCAAGTGGTATTGTACTCCCACAACACCTATCAATACTTGATGCAGGTGTGCATTCTAGTGACTCATATCCTACTGTAGCACTGAATCTGCCACTCGCGCTCACTGATGCACCAAAATAGAAGAATTTTTACTACGCACTCACCCACAGTTTTTTTGAAATATGTTGCTACGTTTAAGAAGGCTTGTTGGGTAACTAGAGATTCTGCTGAACACGGATATTGGTTGGCTTAGAGCGTGGCTCCAGTGAGTTTGACTGCTAAACATTTTTCTCTATATGCGACTGATGGATCTGTTTTCGTCAGGTCGCTAATCAAAGAATGATTGAGGAGAGGTTTTGGTTTCCCGAAGTTGGAATATTACTTTCAAGGAGGTCCTCATATACCATAGCACGGGCTTTGTATCTCATGGAAACTGCATTCTGCCTTAATCTGGGTGAATTCTTCTTCGGCAGTAAGGCTGCCCTTACTACCTAAGACGACCCCCATTTTCAGAACAGCTTTGTCTCTTACCTGTCATCAAGTGACGCGACGCGCATTCACACCAATTCTAAGAGGTGGAGTGAAACATAAGAGACGAAGTTGTGTGCATAGAGTGAGACCATTTTAAGGTTTGCGCCTGTGTTGGGGTCAATCCGCTCGTAATATTACACTGTTCGTGGCCCTTTGTATTTGATACTACGACAATGATGGTGCTTTGGTGAAATTCGTACCTCTCCGTACCTCCATGCATGAAGTCAAACCAGAAATTCTGTATTACTTTACTAGTGTGTCAATCAGCTACATTCGAATATGTCTTGCTTCTGTGCGCTTTGGCTGGTCTGCGGGTCAGAATTTCTGGCGGTTACTTTGGTACCCTACTTGTATTTGTGCGTGTAGACTTGGCTTTTAGCCAAGCAATAGCCTAATCCTTTTCTTATCTCCTAAAACACGTGATCTTTTTCATCATATTGCCTTCTGCCTAGTGGGAAGTCCTTTGGCACCGTACACTCATTAAATATGCTTACTTCGTACGAACAACTTCCTCGACGCGCTCCTCGGTAAACCTTTTCCTTTAGCCGACGCATCGTAATCGGGGCTAAAACAACACTTACGCATCAGCCGCCTTATACGTCAATCCTTTATACTAATGATGCATGACGATGACTTCTGTGTCACTGATACCTCTCAGCAGCTTCAACTAGGCAAGCAGGTACATTTATCTTAAAAATAAGAAACATAGGAAATTCTGCTGACAACCACGTTTGTCCAGGACTAGAGGTTGGGAAGCTCGCTTCAATTCTAGCAATTTCTAGTGTCTAACTTTATGTGAGGATCGGTTCTGTCACCACCGTTAATAGCATGCCAGTAGAACATAGGGATGGGATAGACTTCAAGTGCAGAACTCTTCAAGTTCTTCTGTTATGGAGGAATTAGAAAGTGCCACGCTAGAGTCTATGCACGTTATTTGCATTACATGTTTTGTGCATCAGATATAAATCAGATCTGATTTGGTATTGGGATCATGGTAGTCTTCCGTCGATACCATACAATGCTCAAATGCGCACCTTAAAAATTAAGCATTCGAGCCCAAGTTTAAACTGCAGAGGCGCCATTATCTCGTAGACAAACGCACTGATGAACTTTTTACTAACTTTACATTAAGTAAGTAACTTTAGGCGGAGATCAAAACACTAGTTAACTCTCTTTAAAGTGTAGGTTAAGCTTTCTTACCCTAAAGACCACTCGACAATCTACGATGATGTTACGCTCCTAGAATCCTCAATACGTAGTAGAAGAGATTGAGCATAGCTGAAGTCTGTGCTAAAGGAAAA